TTAACTGAGAGGGATATGTGAAGACCCTGAGGCATTCCTCACATTTGAGTGGTTTTGAGGATTTTGGAACTCTTTTTTTGTGTTCCCCAGGTGAGGGTTGTCCCTGATTAGTCTGGTGAGCAGAGGGAGGCTCAGGAGTTGCTGAGTCAACTTCCTGACTTGAACAACTTTCATTTTCAACTTTTATGTTAGTATCTTGAAGGCCTTCTCCTAGAGGCCATTCTAGAGTTGTGTGGGTACCTGCATCAGCTCTTCTGGCATCTTCTGGATTGTCTGCAACAGGACCTCCCACTTCAGGTGTGGGCAAGCTTTCTTCTGGGATTATATGTAGAACAAGTTCTTGGTTGTCTGTACTGGTACTGTTGTTTTCTTGGGTTGTCAGATGAGAAACTGCACCATTGTCATCATCATATTCTCCTTGTCCTGTTTGTGCAGGAAGATCTTCAGGAGTCTGCAAGGGAATCCCTGAGTTATTATCTCTTGGAGTCTCTGCAGATTGTTGATTTTTGAAGGCAGCAATAACATCATCCAAAGTTGCATCTTCTGAAAACCAGAGTTCCTGTCCCTGCATCCTGACGCGGACATAACCAGCTGGCTGTGAGAGATGATTGTTTAGGTCTTCCATGAATTTGCTCATGTTTCTACCATTTGAATTCCATTTCTCCCTCAAAGCAGGCCTGTCTTGGCAGTGCCCTTCCCTCATAAATTGCTCCAGAACTAGGAGGGAAATCATTTCTTCCTTGCTGTGATTCTCTGGCTGCAGCCACATGTGAAAGAACTTCCAGTATCGTCGAAAGTTCTATTTTAAATTTGACGTATTGCTGTACTGCAATATGTCTACTGGAGTTGCTGCGTTCTGGGATTCAGAGAGACTCTCTCCACTACTAACCCTCCTGGGGAGGGTTCAACCTCCTGATTTTCTGATCTGGGATCATGCCTTGCTGGTTGACGTCGAGAGGATCTCCTGAGATTGAAAGCCATGGTTGGCAAGATTTCTCAGAGACTCAATTTGCGAGACCCGGTTTCTGCTGACTTGAATGCGTGGTTGTAGGGGCTGCAGGGCCCCAAGTCGGTGGATCAGAGGTTATCCGGGCAGTGAATCTCATGTAGTTCCAAGGTTTGATGAACACAAGTCAGCTGACTCAGTAGCCTCAAATACTGTCAAATCTCAAGATACGCTGGTAGTGGTTCTAGAACTGGTTATCACCATCCTAGGACCAGAGCACACAGGACGAACAGCCAGACCCAAAACAAGCAAAGTGGAATTTGGCCAGGCTTTTTATATAGGTCACATGGCTGAGGATAAACTCTTTCATCCGAT